CCCCACTTTCCCCCGCTTTTTAAAAAGATTTTTACTAAAAGTTCGCCATCGTGCTTATGTGTCTCATTTTTAAAACATAATTTCCTGGTATCCCCAGCGGACGCAATTGGCTGCTTTAAATGCACATCCATCAACCACAAGAACCCGGAGTGTGAAGACACGTTTAACAACACAGGCAAATTCTACGAGGAAGACTGCTGGGCCTCAAGACGTGGCAGAACGGGCCCTTTTCCCGGAACGCAATGCATCAAAATGATAGCGGAAGATGGTAAGGATTTACGCTCACAACCTTAAAGCACACTGTAAAACCCATGAATGTTCTTGCTCTTGCTCCTAATTGATTTTATCCGAGTTCGTGTAGTCTCCTTTACGCTTTTGCTGGATACGCAAAGACACGATATACGGCTTGCATCTTACTTTTTTAATGAGTAATGCAAAAAAGAAAATTTCCTAGCATTCGATGTGGACGGTACTCAACTGACAGCAATATATGAATGTGCTTTAAAATCTTTTTAAGAGCAATGTACTGACTTAGCCCCTGCTTTCTACTCATCCACTCGCTTCTTCTCTTCTTCCTTTACTCTGCGCTGACTCGTTCGAAGGTTTGAAATCGTGGATATTGGTTAATCAGTTTAGGAGACTCTTTCTCGGGGAGAGCTGTGTAACTACCTTTACTGTTTCAATAGAGCTCGGCGCTCTTTGGCATCATGAGCTGACCTGATGAGATTGCGATTACACTATGTACATAATCGACCCATGGGCTGGTGTTTCACCCGTATTTTGTAAGATCATTGGCTTTCATTGGTTACTTTGGTTGTCCAATCGCGGAACTATCCCGTACAAAGAAGAAAGACGTATGCGATCTGACCTCTTGGGCTTTCCATTTACTCAAAACCTGACTTCGGATCTCGTGGCCAAGGACTTCCCCATGAGTCACTGCTCTAGTATTGCTTCCTTTCCAAGCTTGAAGCTGAGGGGAAATCGATGGGAAAAGTGAATATTCAGCGCTCACTACCTTCAGGAAATGATTGGGCGTCGTTCGATGCTCTTAAAGTGTGTGTGGGGGGGTGAGAGAGAGTATTTATGTGTGTGTATGTGTGTGTTTGTGTGTTTGTGTGTGTGTGTGTGTTTGTTTGTGTATGTGCCAGACAGAGAGAGAGGGGGGGGGTACTCACATGGTTGGGGAAACAAGGGGGTGGGCAGGTAGAATGGAAGAGAGGAAAGGAGAATAATGAGAAAGAAGGGTGGGTGGGGTGGAGGGGAGGGGGGAGTAGATGGGATGGGCAGGGAGTTCGATAGATAGAGGCGAAGTGCTCAGAGAAATCGACAGTCCAGTCTCTAGCACACAAAGATGGCAATTACGGTGTTGGGAAATCTGGGATCGGCAGGACACAAAAATCCATGCGAAAAAAAAAGTAGAGAGAGAGAGAGATTATATAAGCTTACGTTTGTCCCCATTTGTTTACTGTCATGTCCTTCTTGATGACGATATCATCTGAGAAGGTCGTAGTGTTGTAGTAAACACCATCAAGCATGCCTCCTTAAAAGGGATTTTAAAGATTCCTTTTTTGCATGTCAAAGGAGATCAAGTGGAAGGCAGTCAGGCTTGACAGAGATGAAACAATGACAGGGAATTAGGGAAAGAGGCGGCAGAGGAAATTTTGTTTTAAATTTTTTAATTTAAAAAATAATAAAGTACAGAGGCATCAGGCATGAGGGTAGGAATGTACTTTTGAAAAGCATACGGTTGGTGGGTTTTCTAGTCTGTGCAATTGTTTGTTCCCGTGTGTATCCGTTGTTAAACGACAGAAGTCAAAAACGAAATTAACCCCCCCCCCCCAAAAAAAAAAAGACCCAAAAAAGTTGGTCTCCCGCATTTACGAAGAGAGAATGAAACGAAAGACATTAATTTTGCATTTGGAAACACTCGGAACGGAAAGAACGTGATAAAAGGAATTTTTAAAAACATATGCTGTTTCCATCAAAATGTTATATTCTATTGGGTTTAAGTTTGGTTGCTAGTTTGGTTTAGTTCAGATACAGTTTAGAAAGAATTTTACGACTTATGCAACATAATAGGTCATGTAAGTGCCTCAGATTAGAATTAGAGGTGTTACCAGATATATACAAAAGGAGGCAGCGAGATGAGGATGTTAGTATTTTGTTTGGAAAAAAAAGAAGGAGCAAACCACCTCAGAGCAAACGCCAACCATACACTCTTCTAGTTCTTTGGACAGTCGCGCTGGTCACCATTGTATCAAATAATACGTTCACAGCTGCTTTATTCGCTCATAACTCAGTATCTCTTAGGACAAAGGGAAAACTACTGAGAAAAATACAATTTTACTATTGCACTGTTGCTTTACAACCAAACTAAACCAGTATCAGAGCTCGTGTAAGAGAGGATAGATATTGCGAGCTGGTTTTTTTTTTATTATCACAGAATTCGTAATTGATTATTCTGCCTGGTCGATTAATTTATTACAGCTGCATATTGGATCCTACTGTTTGTTGAAGTTGTTCACCGGGATATTGGTGACAGCGTTCTGAATGTGCCAGTCGCAAGAGTAATAATGAGTTTTCTCTCTCTCCCCCCCCCCCTCCCTCCTTCTCTCTCACACCCATACACCTCCCTTTCTCCCTCCCCCCTCTCTCATGCTATCTATCTCTGTCTCTGTCTCTGTCTCTCCCTCTCTCGCTCTCTCTGTCTCTCTCTCTCTCTCTCTCTTTCGCTTTCTCTCTCTCTCCCTCTCTTCCTCCCTCTTCCTCTCTCTCTCTCTCTCTCACTCTCTCTTTCTCTCTCTCTCTTTCTCTCTCTCTTTCTCTCTCTCTCTCTCTCTCTCTCTCTCTCTCTCTTTCTGTCCTTCCAGTGTGTATTTCTTTTTTGCTTTGTCTCTCCGTGTACATTTCTGTCTCTGTCTCTGCCTCTCTCTGTCTCTTTCTGTCTCTCACTGTATCTGTCTGTCTGTCTGTCTGTCTGTCTGTCTGTCTGTCTGTCTGTCTGTCTGTCT